GTCCCTTGGCGAGGCGCCCCGGAGACGCGGCCCCAAAAGGAGGCGAAGGGAAGTGTGCCAGTGCTGACACTCCCCCCCCCCCCCCCCCCCCCCCCGAGCTGCGAGCCGCCAGGTGTAGGACGGGGGCCGGGACCGGGGGGTCCTCCCACACGGAGGTCGCGCGGCGATCAGAGCACCGCCCCCTTCAGTTGGCAACTGAACGGTCGATCAGGAATATGAGTTCCGCCCGGCGGCGGCACCGCGGGGGACCCATGAGGCAAAAAAGCGCCCGCGCTCCGTGTCGCCCTCCTCCACTCGCCTCCCCCTCGGCCCCGCCTCGCATATTCTCCCATCCACACGTTGACGCGCCATCGCGTCATCTCATCCTCGTACTCCCACGGAAGGACACGCACGTCCATACGCGCGGGCCTGGCAACTCTCGTCCTCGCCTTGTGAAGCATCCGCCCGACGCCCGGCCACGCGGGCTCCTTGCGCCTCGCGGCTCCATAGCAGGATGGCTGACACATCCGGAGGGGGGCTGGCCCCGGCGCCGGTTCCATCCGGCGCCTCCCTTTCACCGCCGTCCAACAGCGAGTTGGACTTCTGTGCGGAGAACGAATTTGTGACCATCGTTCCGGCTGTCCGGCTCCCCCGGATGAATCTCGTCACGGTGCGTGCCCAGCCGGGGCCCGGCGACGGGAGGGCCATCCTTTCTTGTCGGCTGCCTTGCCTTGCGTTGCCTTGCCTTGCTGCATCCCCCCCCCCCCCATTTGGCCGCTGCCCTCCTAGCTGACCCTCATGCCCTCCCCCGCAACATCGTGCTTGGGCTTTGACAACCAACAGGGCACCATTGGACCATTGCATCCCCAGCGCGAGACCCTCGTTCCTCTCTGGCTTGCGCTGATGCTCAAACGGGCTGGCCGGGCACGCATCCGGCCGCCCGAGTGGCTGACCGAGGGTACGCGCGCGAGTGCCCATTGGCACGCAGGTGCTTCTGTGTGTCCCCAATTGCCCGAATGACTGACGGTATCCCGCCTGCCGGTCGCCCCAGACGCCCTTCGGCTATACCTAAAGGCGGAGATCGCCTCGAGCGCTTTCTCGCCTCTGCCTTTCCGGTACCTGGAAATTTCACAGCTCATCCTCCAAGCGGCGCCGGACGATGTGCCCGGCGCCACGAAGATCCGCGCTCTCATTGAGGACCTGCGGGGGCGTCGGGCGGCGAAAATTCGCCGCGGTGTGGCCAGTGTCGTCAGCACCGATGTTTTGATCAGCGTACGCCACCCCCCCCCCCCCTCACACGCCTCTCTTTTCCCTTCAGGCCGCGTCAGGGCAGGGACGCTACCCCTATCGACTGGTGTCCCCACTGGTCGGCTTTGTGGGGCCTGCCTGTAGCCCGTCTTCATTTGTCCTCACCATCTCGATCCTGCTGCTCTTCGTAGCTTTCCAACATGTCAGCCATTGAAGTGAATGAGCTGCGCCCGCAACTGCTTCAGGCCCTGCACGTCGTCAACTCCCTCGAGAAATCGTCCGTCTTCTGGCACGCCTGTTTCTTTCGCCCTGCGACTTCCCTTCCTCTAACCCTCCTGTGCCTCCCTGGCATGATGATACACCGGGCTCTGTGCTTGCCAGATCTCGGGTGGCTGATGATGCCGGCTAAGGGAGGCCAGCTTGCCGGCTCTTCCCCCTTGGCCTCGCTGCTCGGAAACTCCCCCACAAAGGGGGCACACGGTCCAAATGAGGGCCAAGCAACGCATCCTCGACCCTCCCCCTCCCTTCCCCATAAAACTTGAAAACCATCCAAACACACCCAGACACCGGTATCAGGTCATGATCGGCACAAAGCAAGGGGACAAAAGAAGAAGTCATTCATTTTATCAAGAGGGATAAGTAGGTAGCAGTCCGGCTGGTTGCGAATGATTGCCCAGCTGCCGGGAGGAGAAGCCAATTTTTTGGTCCATTTTCTGCGTCCTCCCCTGCTCCCGAAAGGGCATCGCCACGGCAGCAAGTCCGGTAGGAGAGGCGGCGGGCGGGGAGAGGAGCAGGAGAATGCCAGCACAGACGGACGAGGCACATGGGGTCCTGGGCGTGCACATGTGGTGGAAGGCGCGCCCCATTCGCACAGGCATCTCTGTCCGGGTGCCCGGGAGGCATGGCACATTCAAAGGTCCGGGCTGGAGGAGCTCAGGGCACGGGTACTGGAGAAGTTGTCCATCGAGTTGTTGGAGCCTTCGGTGGACCAGAAGAAGAGGGGGGAGGGGGGGCCGGTTGGACAGGGACACTCGAGTCAGGATTGATCGTGTTCATCATCGGCCGGGGCAGCCAAAGCCGACACATGGGGGTCTGCCCGGAAGTGGGCATACGGACGAGGGAGCACGCACCGGAGAAGAAGGCCACCCAGTCGAAGACGCGGGTCGGGAAGAGGGCCCGAACAACGGACACCATCCAGATGGACCGCGGCAGGGGAACCACCTCACGCTCCTCCTCAATGGATTTGATGATCTGGGCGGCAGTCCAGTCCTGATCGAGCATGGCCATGGCACGCGACCTGCCGGGGGGGGGGGGATGGTCGAAGGGGTGTCATGGTGTGTCAGGACCAGACACAAGCGGGCGGGGCCCCTCGCGGTGGAGGACGGGTGGGCACTCGACCGACGCCGATGTTCCCAGGACGCCCTCGGTAGGGCTGTTGCGGGGAGCGCCAGAGTCGGGGGGAGGGGAGGGAGGAGGGAGGCAAAGGAAAATAAAAACACCCGAAAAGGCACACGCACCGCATCTTGGCCCCCTCAAACATGCCGGTGTTAATGTAGATGGGCATGATGATGGAGGTGTGCACGCCGTTCCAGCCAGGCGCAGCGCGGTTCTTGGCCTGGGTCTCCATGCGGACACTCTCACCGAGGGCCGACACGGCGGCCTTGCTGGCGGCATAGTCTCCGAGGCCGGCCGGCGCCACGAGGGCCGAAGCGCTGGACACGTAGACAATGTGGCCGCCACGGGCTGAGGCCCCCTTGGGCGGGGTCATCATGGCGGGCAGGACGGCACGCGTGCACCACACAGGGCCGAGGGCGTTCACCGAGAAGGTGCGCTCGATCTGACTGCGCGAGGCCGTCACCAGGGGGCGCCCATGGACAACACCGGCGTTGCAAATCATGACGTCGACCTTGAACGAGGGATCCGGCTGGGGCAGGGACTCCAGGACGGCTGAGAGGTCCCCGTCGCTGGCCAGGGTGCGGTTGGTCAGAGGCACGCCGCTGAAGAGCAGCAGTGTCTCCCGGTGGGCCACCTTGACGGAGGCCTCGCTGGAGACGTCACAGAAAACCGGATGGACAAAGCCACTGCGAGCCGGGAACCGAGCCTTCATCTCGGCGGCTGTTGGGTGTCAGCGTGGAAGCGCCTGGCAAGGGAGCGGAGAGCGGGGGAGGGGGGAGGGGGGGAGGCGCGAAGGGACATACCAACGGCCGAGACAGCCTCGAAGTTGATGTCCCAGAGGGCAACCTGGGCACCGCGCTCGGCGCACATGAAAGCCATGATCTTGCCGATGCCGGAGCCGGCGCCGGTGATCACGACCTGTGGAGGGGGGAAATGGCAGGGCGGTTAGGTGGGGGGGGGAAGAAAAGCCAGGTTGCGGAGGGGGAGCAGAAGTTCGGCACATACCAGCCGGTCGTTGAGGCTCTTGCGCTTCTTCGGGCCAGCAACGAGGCGATTGATGCCAGCTGCCAGGGCAAAAGCAACAACCACCTTGGCAGCCCTGTAGCCAGGGGCGGGGAGGGGGGGGGGAGACAGGGTAGCCGGTCAGTGAGTGGCCGAAGAGCCGGACGGAAGGGCACGGAAGCAACCAACAGCACAGGAAATCCCTGTATGTGTGTGTGTGTGTGTGCCAATGTGTGTGTGTGGCCATGAGCCTCGGTCTTTCTGCCGGCCAATCGGCACGCACCAGGGCAGAGCGCGGAAGCTCGTCAGAAGGGAAGAAACTTGGGGAAACATCATCTGCTGGTGATCGGGGGGGGGGGGGGGGAGTGAGGAAGGAGGGAGGGAGGAGAATAGAGGAGAGTGCCGGGATGCGGGATTGCTGGGATCCCGAACGTGGGGAGGGCAGCTAAAGAAGGGCCAGGCCGGCTGTCGCGGGCAAGTGTGCCCGTCAAGATAGCAGGCTGGCGGGCCAGCCATGAGGGTGCCCGGGCCGGCCACCACCGGCCGGGCACACCGAGTGCCGGACTGCCTTGGCCGGCCGAGCTGGGCAATCCTCCCTGGGCCTGGTCCGGCAATGGTGGGCCTGCCACTGGGGCATGGCAGGGCCGACTCTCGCCGGCCCGGCTGTGCTATGGCCGCCCGAAGGGCCTTTTGCTCTGAGCTCGGCACAATTGCGTCCCCCTGCGACGGCAAGGGGCTAAGGGCGGGCCTGTCGATCTGGGGGCGGCAGGACAAATACCCGAGAGGGAACGCAAGGAGCGGGCAGGAGCGGTGTGTGAGACTTAAAGCAAGCACGCCCGGTCGGGGACGTGCCGGTCGCTCGGGCGGGGGGACGGGACGGCGTGTGCGGACCCCCCCCCCCCCCCCTGGGCCTGGGCTGGTGGCTCTATTTCCGCAGGGGGCGGCCTTAAAGTTGCGACGACAAGGGTCAGAGAATGCCTCCAATGAGATCCGGCGTGCCAGCGGCACTCTTCGTGACCTGAGACCGCGGGGAAAGAAGGGGTAAGTGACCGTGCCCAGGCGGGCTGAGTGCTTTTCGTTCGCCTGTGGGCCAGGCCTCCGCCCCCCCTCCTGGCCCCCCCCCCTATCCCGGAGGTGTTGTCCCTCGGGCCAGCGAGAGCGGGAAACCAGCCAGGAAGAGGAGCAAGACCCGGACACGGGTCGAGAGAAGGACAGAGTGGTCCCTTTTGGCCTGAAGCTGAATGAGATTACTCGAGACCCAGATCGTGCCGAGATCTCTCTTGGCAAAGAGGCAGAGCCTTTGACCGAGAGAGAGAGAGAGAGAGAGAGAGAGAGAGAGAGAGAGAATGAGGAAGAGAAGGGGAACGCCGCTCTCGGGATCCCCCCCCCCCCCGGAAGGGGTGTGGGCCCCATCGATGTGCCGCCCTCGGCCCATGGGCCGACATATGCTGGCCAGGCCACCGGGGCTGCCTCCATGCCGCTGTGCCGGCCCGGCCGGCTGGGTCGGCCCTTTGCGCCATGCAGTCCCGCCCGGCCCCTCTTTCCCGCCCCCTCGCCGCCCTGCCCCTGGCCGTGGTGCGCCCTCTGGCTCCTTCGCCGGTTGTTGGGTCCCTTGTTATCCCGGCGCCCGGCCCCGCCGGCCGGGCCGTCTTCCGTGTGTTTGTTTTCGTCTTTTCGCATGTGCCCCGGGCGGGCCCGGGGCCCGGTGTCATGTTCCAGGCCTCCCCTTGCCACCTGCCCAAGCGCCGGCGCAGGCAGCCACATACCCTCAGCCCCCCTCCCTGCCTCGCGGAGAGGTCCACCGCGCGGCCCCCCCCCGCCCCCCCCCCCCCCCCCCCCCCCCCCGCGCGCAGCCTCATCTCCCGTCCGGGCGATGCACAAGTGCTTCGGTTCCCTGCATGCAAAGACGCGTGTGACCGGCTCCTGGCAGGCGGAAGGGGGGCGCAGGGAAAATCGACCGCCTTCGATCGCCACAATGACCCACCCCTCCTGTGGCCCCATGGCGGTTCGAGGGACAAAAGAAGCTCCTGCCGTGGCGGGCCGCAGCCCGTCCGGGGACCAGCGTGAGCACGAACAATCCCTCAAACCGGCCGCGGGCGCGCCCCTCTGACCGGGGGAGGGGGGCCAAGTCCGGGACTCGTGTTTTTTTCCCCCTTGTTAACACCCAGCCCGCCGAGCCCCGGCGCGCACACAGGCGCTCGTTCCATTTTTCACGCTCGACTTGCACAGGCACACTCACCGGACTCGCACACGCCCGACTTGCGCGTGCGCACACCCGACTCGCATGTACACACATACACACACACACACACTTTCAGGGCACACCGGACGCTTGAATGGCCCATCTCCAAGGCCAACGAATCGCCACTTGCTCAAGGCAGGCTGACCCGGCAATGCGCGTAGGCCGACAAGGCTCCATGGGCCAATGACACACAGGGCGGCGACACCAATACACAGAGAGGGCGAGAGGGCGTCCAGATGCACCCAAGGATTTGGCCCTCAAAGGGGGAACATGCCGGCCCTGGGCCAGGATGGACCAGACTCGCTGCGCGGGCGTTTCCAGCTGCCCCGGCGGCCGATCGAGGCAGCTGGGGGGGGGGGGGGGGGACGGGCGCCGGAAGGCCAGCGGGTGCCCTGACATTCACGCTGCCGGGGTGTAGCAGGTTCTCCGGTTGTCCCCGTCACTGAGGCACCCCCTGGCCCGCTGTGAATGCATCCCTCGCTCCAGCCTCCTCCCCCCCCCCCGCCCCCCTCCGACAGAGGCACGGGCAACACACACACATACACAGACACATTGTAAAAGATACTCACCCCCACCCACTCACCCACACACACACACACACGCACACACACACAGCCCACGCCACTTTCACGCCCATCTAACATACACGAGGTGTCAAAATAGGCGGTTCGTCGGGCGCCGCGGGGCGTGTAATGGAATCCCCCCTAGACTTGAGGGTCAGATCATGCTTTGTGTTTCAGAGGGCACGGGTATGCTCCCGTGATGGTGTTTGGCCATTCCGAATAGCGTTCATGTGGGTGCACGGGCGCCAGGCAACACACCCACCGGCACGCCGGGCCCCGGGCCACGCAGAGGGCTCCGACGAAGGAAGGAGATACGCGTGGGCGGGCGGCCTCCCGGGCCTGCTTTCGCTGTTCGAAGTCCCTCCTACCTGGCTTTTGCCCGCCCACCGGCCTCAGGTCCAGTGGCCAGGCTCTCGACTGCCACGGGCGATAGTACATTCCCCCAGCCCGGCGTGCCCTCTCTTCGGGCAGGGAAAGTCCCTTACTGAATGCTAATTTGTGATATGCTCTCCGTTAAAATGTCCCTCTTTGACGTAAGATTGCATCCGTGAAAACCCTCCTCGACGCCTGGGCCACTCGACGGCCGAAGGCCGGCCGAGGCCGGGCTCCAGGGACGCGCGGCAAGGCGTCCACGCCCCCGCCACGAAGGGGCTCCTCCCCTGCGTTCTGGACAAGCCGATTTTGCCTTGGACGCCCCTGCCATTGATCCGGAGGCGTGTTACGGGCACACCCAAGCGGGGCCGTCCCGCCGCGGCGCCCGGGCGCCAAGTCGGACCGGGGTGGCTGCAGCAGACAGAGAGATGAACGGGGGGGGGGGGGGCCTCGCCTCCTGCAAGCTGTAAAGGTGGCGCGCATTCCACCGCGGCATTCCACCTTAACGGGTGGGTCGGAGGTGGCTGGCTGCGGGCCATTTTTGTCAACATCCCCCCCCGCGGCTCGGCCAAGGAGGCCAGACGTATGTGGGGGGGGGGGGGGGGGGGGGTCTTTGCATGCCCTGGCAGGGTGAGAGTGCGGGGCGGAATTCTGGAGGGGGTTGGTTCGCGCCGGCGCGGCTCGCAGGCGCTCGGCCCCGGTCTTGCGTGCATGGGCCACAAGAAAAGGGCCTCCCAGCTGGAGATATGATAGACTTGTGGGAGGGTCCCGCGGCGGCGGCGGCGGGAGGGGCCGCGCGGGGGGCGGCCGCCGCAGCCCAGGCTCTCCGGGACGCCCTGCCTGGGGACCGTCAGTCGGCAGATACGCACAAAGACTCCCGGCCTCCGGGGGCCCGCGGGGGGAAGGGGGGGGGGGGAGCCTTCACCTGCCTTTTTGCGGACATGGGCGGCCACTTCAGTTTCATTCTCCCCCAGGCTTTGGGGCGAGGGGGGAGGGGGAACGCCTGAACCAGCCTCCCGGCCAGGAAAGTGTTCGGGAGCCCTCCCCCCGAGGGTTGTCCCCCGCCCCCCTCCCCCCGCTGCCCGAGGGTGAGCCGGCTTCGAATAGGACACGAAGGCATGCGCCGCGGCAGCGCCCGTGTGGTTCGGCTCCAGGAAAGGCCGAGGGATGATCCCCCCCCCCCCCCCGAGGCGGGCATTCTTCCATCAGCCGGCTGTCCCGCTGGACCTTCTTCCCCCAGCCGGAGTGGAGAGGCACGAGCCCGGTGTTGAGGGGGCTGGTGTGGTGATGTGCCACAGTCTCTCAGGCGGGCTCTGGTCCGGATGGCCAGGGCCGATCATCCCCGCCTGGCGATGGCGGCCCCGGCGCGCGGCATACGCCCCGGGGGCGGCCTCCCCCACCCGGCGCGGACGCTGGCCGCGAGACGAGCCGGAGGAAAATGATGCTCGTCCATTCCTGCCGCCTCAGGCCTGGAAGGACCGCTGCCAACGACCAAACCACACAACGCTCATGCCTGCCGCTTGGAGATCAGAGGTGTGCACCCGCCAAGAGAGCCCAGTTTCCATCTCGGCACTGGCCCCGGGGGGGGGGGAGGCACGGGCACGGGGCGTTTGGGCCGGATGCCAATTAGAGCGTTTCGCGCGGGGGCGAGGGCGCTCAGTTGCACCCCGGCGAAGCCCCCCCCCCGCCCCCCCCCCCCTGGGCCGCGGCAGCAGCAGCAGTTCAGAAACAAGCGGGATGCTCACGCGCTCGCGACGGACTTGGGTCCCTTTCGTTTGGGAGCCCTCGCCTGCCGACCGGGCCGGAGGCCGCAGGAACTTCGCGGAATTTCCTTTGACTGCTGGGGCCTCTCCCGGGAGACGGGGGGGTGTGCAAGAGGGGCAGGGCGCGGAGATAGCGGCGCCCCACCACCCCCTGGGCCCTCGGTCGCCGAGTGAGGGCGCAATCTCTCCTTTCCGTTGCTGCCCCCGGACCGGCCCGGGTTGCCCGTTTGTCCTCTTCCATTTCCGGGACGCTGCGTGCTCCCAACCAGCCCTCTTCTCAAAGCTGCCCATACCCGAGGCATCCCAAACTCGGGGCGCGTCACCCCCCCCCCCTCCCTTGCGCAGCGACCCTCTCGCCTCTCCCCCCCTTGCTTTTGCTGCCCCCCCCCCTCCCCTCCCCCCGATTAGTCCGCTTTTCCTTGTCGCCGCTGCCACTTCCGTTGTCGCCGCTGCTGCCGTTGCTTCATCTTCCCCCCCAAGCCCGCCTCCCCAGCCCCCTCCGGCCTCCGACCGTCTCGACCGGAGTGCGTCCAACCCGGCCCCAGACCCCTCGCTTGGCTCCCCCCCCCCCCCCCCCCCTGCCCCTGGTCCCCATCACGCCACTCTGCTCACCTCTCCTTGCCTTCTCGCCCTCCCCCCTCCCCTTCCACTGCGCGTGCCCCGGGGCCCACCCAGCAGAATGGCAGCAAACCCCCAGTACAAGTCCTTCCAGCGGGAGTCTGACGACTCGGACACCTCGGCCACCTCGGACACCCCGCTCAATGCCGAGGAGGAGTACGATTACTATGAGATCCTGAATGTGTCGCGCGATGCCTCCGAAGAGGAGATCAAGAAGGCCCACCGGCGCATGGCCCTGCGCTACCACCCGGACAAGCCGACCGGCGATGCGGACAAGTTCCGCCAAATCCAGCACGCCTATGAGGTGCTGATGAATCCCACCCGGCGGAAGCTCTATGACCAGTATGGCGAGGCCGGCCTCAAGATGTATGACGGCTACGGGAACCATCCTCTTGGCAATTTGGCCGCCGAGAACCTCTCCCTCTGGGTGTGTCTGCTCCTGCTGCCGGTGCTGCTGCTCCTGCTGTTCTTCATCCTGGTGGTGGTCAATGTCGACTACGGTGCGTGCATCCCGCTGCCGGGCGCCTGCGCGCATCGACGCGCCACTTCTTCGCGGTGGTCCTGTCGGCTCTTTTCCCGCCTCGACCCTGCCGTCGCACGTCCCTCTGCACCCCATTTCCCCCACCAATCCGATCCCATCTTCTGACTGCCTGCTCCCTTGTCGGACATGTGCGCGCGGGCTCCCGCCACCGCCGCCCCCGAAATAGCCAAGGGCTGGTCGTGGCCCGCCATCTGGACTCCGCTTTGGGTGATCAACTTCATTGTTGTCCTCCTCTCCCTCTCCGTCACGGTCCTTGCCTTTAGTGTGCGTTTCTCTTTCAGACAAGACTCCTTCCCCTCCGAGTCCTTGCACCCCCCCCCCCCCCCCTTGTTGCTGCCTCTCTCGCCCCTTCCACTGACATCGGCTCCCCATCCCGGCATCCCATACCCTCAGGCTGCTTCCGAGGACAGTGCCGAGATCAGCAAGCCCAGCGTCGTGAGCTTCTTCTTCAGTGTCATCTTGACTCTCATCTGGCAGGTGCGCCCTCCTCTCGGCGTTGTCCGCCGGCAGGACACCCTATCGCGCCACTTGGGCGGCCGGGTCTAAACACTCACCTCCACTCGTCCTCCCCGTCGGCGCCCGGATCGCCACCCCGCAGATTCTGCTTTCCATCAAGCTCAATGGCCACAGCATGGCCTGGGGCTATGTTTGGCTGCCGATGTTCCTGGTGTCTTTGCTGTCCTTCTGCCGGCACTTCTTCAATGTTCGCTCACTTGACTTCCCCATGCGGGTGCGTGTTTCATCATGGTTGCCGATCAAGCCCAAGCATGGCCTCCGCTTGGGTCCTTTCCCTCCTTCCTCCCCCCCCCCCCTCCTCCGTCCGGCCATGATGTTGACATTCCCTTTCCTCCTCCCTCGTTCGTTGGTTATCTTGGCTTTCACCGATGTAGAGCAAGATCCCCGTCTTCCTCTTCAAGATCCGGTGGACCGTCATGCGCCTGCTCACCATGATCTTCATTGTGCTCAAGTCCGATGGCGTGTCCTCCATGAGCTGGCGGGCTGTGGTGCGTCTTTTTTTTTCCCCCCCCCCCTTCTCATGCGCCTGTCTTCCGGAACATTTCCCGACCTGCTTTTTGCCGGCCGGCCGGCCGGCCGGCCAAGTTTCATGGTTCTCCCTCTCTCACCTCTTCCCTTCAGTTCTCCCCGGTGTTTGCCTTCTATGGCTTCTTCGTTCTCCTGTCCCTGCTGCTGAGCTGCTGCATCCCGAAGCTCTTCGGCTCTCTCGGCGAGACCATCCTGACCGACGTCCTGCCGAGCATCTTCATCGTCACCTTCATCGCCCTGCTTTCAGTGGCTCTGGATGGCATCCGCGGGGTGCGTGCCCATTCTCAGGAACCCATGCCATTCGCGTGCTTCGCCCCTTCTTTCTCTCTTTCTTTCCTTTATCCCATCCCCTTCGGGTCTTCCCCCTCTCCCCCTCCACGCACACGCACACGCGCACACACCATATTGCTCTCATGTCACTGGGCTCACACTGGCGGTGGTATCCTCACTCACACTCTGTCCACTCTCCGCAAATGTCTCTGTCACTTCCATTCATTCCACACAGTACTCGCTTGGCGTCATTTTCGTGCCCGTCTTCATCGTCATGGGTCTGGTCATCCTTGTTCTCTGCATCTTCGCCTGCCTGCTGAAGTGCATGATGGACAGTGAGATGCCCGAGCCGGTGTCCAAGCGCAACAGCCAGAAGACTCCGCTTGTGGATATCAGCCGTCGACTGACCTACAACACTGAGCCTTCGTCGAACAAGGATTGATCGCACCCTCTCCCGTTCCCATCCTTCTGTGTGGCGCCATGCGTGTCACAATGTCCTTCCCCTGAGAGGCTAGCTCTCTCTCTCTCTCTCTCTCTTTCCCTCTGTCTCTCTCTCTCTTAATATGCTCTCCTTCTCTCGTAACCACATGCGTGGTGGGCTTCGCTCCTGCCACGAATCTCCTTGCGTATGTGGGGACTCCCTCACCGAAAATACATCCAGTGTCATACATTCATGCGTGGTTGTCTGGTAAATGCTGCCCTTTTGAACGTGACCCTTCTCGGCGCTCCTCGTCTTCATTCACCCTCGCCCTCTTCTACCGGAGCGCGTGCATATATTTCGAAATGTGTGTATTGCTTCCCGCGACTGATTGAGGGGCGAAGCCAAGGAGGAAGAAGACATCCCAGAGAGCCACGGGACACCATCAAACAAGGGAGGAAAAACAAAGAAAAAGGGGGGACTCCCCTCTTCCTCTCTCGGGCTACGCGAGATGAAGGAGTCCACTACTGGCAATCGAGGCGGGCTTGGACCTTGCGAGCAAGGCGGTCGGCCAGGATGGCATTGCGGATGACCTCCAGGCGATCGGCCACCACGGTGAGGGCCAGCCTCGAGGCGTGGAGCACGGTCGCCGGGGCAACCGGCGCGCCACCAGGCTTGACCACCAGGCACACTTCATTTTGCCGATTGACCACCACCGTCAGGATGGCGCCCTCGGAGTCATTGTCGGCCACGGACTCGGCATCGGACTTGGGGTTCTCGGCCGCCGGGGTGAGAGGCTTGTGCGCCATCATGGAGAACATATTGATCAAGTTGGTGGGCTTGACCAGGGGCGGCTGCAGGGTGAGCTCCTCCTCCTTGGAGCTGGGGTCGAGGATCATATCAGACGAGCCGCGCAGGAAGGCAAACGACAAAGCCAGTGGCGTGTGGTGGATGCTTAGCGGCAGGGGGGCGCGCTCGGTCGGGGGATGCTGTGCAGGTGTCCGCCAGGGGGGGTGAGGGGGGGGGGGGGGGGACATCAATGGGTGTTGATTGGATGTCGCGGACTGTTAGAGGTGCGAGGGGCGGTGGCCGGAGCCTCAGGAGGGGGAAGAAGAAGAAGAGAAAGGGGGGGGGGGAGGCAGGACACGGGGCAAATGTGCACGCACGATGACCACCGACCCGGCATCATTGACCGAGAAGGCCGGACGACGGAAGTGCAGAAGGGCCGCGATGGCCGCGCATGTGGCCGCGTCTACCAGTGATCCATCATCATTCAGAACGCGGATGTCCACGCGAATGGCCAGGACCTTGGTGCCAACCTCGATGCACAGCTGGGTGGTGTCGATGACACGGGTCTCGCTGATGGCCCGGTCAACCAGGCGCTGGACCTGGCTCGCGGGAATGGTCGGGCTGTTGGCCGGGGGGGAGGGGAGGGGCGATTGGACAGAGGCGAGAGGAGGTCAGTGGTTTGAAAGACGAGGGACAGGCCCCGGGCCGATCGATGCGCGCGAGAACGGAGGGGATGAGCACGCACGGCATGTCCGCCGGGATGTCGCAGTTGACGGCGAAGGTACCCTCGGCCGGGCGGTCGATGGTGGGGGTGATGATGGTGGCCGAGACCCGGGCAATGACAACGGTTTGGCCAACACGAGCTTCGGCATGGCCACGCTGCCACTGGCAGTCGACCGCGGCCGGGACAGACAGGTCATTGAGCGGATCCAGGGAGGTGTCGTCACGGGCCGCGGCGTCCAGGGCCACTTGGTCGACGACTGGCGACCCGACGAAGGAAATCTTCAAAGCACGCGGCTCATACACGCTCCGGCCATCAATCCGAACCTTGCGCTTGCAAGATTCCAGCATGAAAAGCCGGTTGGTATAGGCGGTGGCGGAGGTCTTGTTCATTGCGTCCCTCAGGCGGATGTTTCGGATACCTGGGCTGGTGGTCGGGCGAGGGCGAGGGCGAGAGCGAGGGCAGGGGCAAGGGGGGGGGAGGAGGAGAGCAGATGAAGGAAGGGGGAAAGGGAAGAGAGGAGGGGGATGGAAAGAGGGCGCTTGTTGCCCGTAAGCACCCGCATCCAGGGCGACGGCCCTTGAGGGGATCCCCCCGGGTGAGATCGGGCGCCCGGCCTGATTGCGTGGGGGCCCCCCCCCCCCCCCCCCCCCCCTCTCCCCGCCCCCATGGTCGGGCCTTCTCGGGGCTGACGCCAATTCCCAGCGGCTGGACGAGGTGCCTACTGGGGGGCGGGGGGCGGGGGAGGCTGGAGAGGCAAGGTGGACCACGCTGGGTTGGCAGCGGGGTTCGGGCCCGATCATTGGTACCGGCGTGGGATCTGGAGTTGGAGATCCCTATTCCAAATATAAAAATATATATGCCAGTTTATGTGATGCGGCTGGTGAAAACCCCTGGACAACTGCGCGCGCGTACTTCTGGCATTCGCTTCCTGTGAGGGCAGGATCGCCAGCCGGTCCGGAGCGCGGCGGAGCCATTTTGGGCTGGCCGAAGTCGCTGGATGGATGCATCCTCGACGGATCGGCTGTTGGTGTTGAGGGCAGCTGGTTCTTCGGCAACCGGCCCCGAGGTCCGGCGGCTGGTCCCCGGTGCCAGGGCGCTGTTGCCTTTCTTCTCTCTCTCCTCCTCCTCCTCCTCCTCCTCCCTACTTGCCCCTTCCTCTCTTTTGCGTCTCTTCCTTTCATCGGATCTTCCTTCACTCGATCTCGAGCGGCATGAGCAACAAGGCGTCTCCCGGTCCCGGGGACCAGGCCTCCTCTCCTTCGCCCCCAGGGCAAGGGCCCTTGCACTCGCACCAGCACCCGCACTCGCACCAGCACCAGCACCCGCACCCGCACTCGCATGCACACCCGCACTCGCATGCCCATCTCCATAGCCAGCAGATCTCGGGTCATGGTGCCCCACCCGCGCAGTACTACTACGCGCCGGCTGCCACGCAGCACCCGGCCTTCTATGCGTCCATGGGGTATGCCTACCCCGGGAGCTCGACACTTGCCGCGCCAGATCCCAATCAAACACCCGATCGCAGCAGTTCAGGGCCTTCCTCCCAGGCGCCCCCCGGCATCGGCGGCAATGCCCTACGGTCGGACTTTCATCCCTCGGGCTCATCAACGGCTCCAGGGGCCACGGCAACTGGCCCGGCCTCGCCCCCATCGCCACAACACTATGCCCAGGCGTACTACGATCCGCGATACATGGCGGCCGGTGGTGGGCCCCAGGCTCCGGGGTATTTCTACCCTGCGGCGACTCCTGTCCACCCGGGCGAGCATTTTGCCTCGGTTCCTGGCATGTCAGCCCCGGCGTACTATGGCCAGACGCCCGGCGGCTATTACTATTACCAGCAGCCGGCGACGCCGTATGTCCAGCCGGCGGCACCCCCTGCAATGAACAGATCTCCCTCAACAACAGCGCCGGCACCGATGCCGACCCCCTCACCGGCATCGGCATCGGCGCCGGCGAGTTCACCATCCTCGGGGCCTGGCGCCTATGGAGACACTCTGGACGGTGCGTCTGCGCTGGCGGGATCTCGGCCGGTGCTCTCTCCTTCCATCGATTTCTCTGCACTCGGCGGGACTTTCGGCACCCTCCCCCTCCTTTTTTTTCCTGACTCCATGTATCACAGACGATGACTCAATGAGCGTCCTGGAGGATGCAAGCCCGCTCGACTTTGCCGGTGTCTATTTGGAGTCCGATCTGGAGCCTGATGCCGAGCTGGATCTCGATGGGAGCATTCCGCCGGGTGGGCATCCTCCCGACGGGCTGGACATCCAGCAGCCGGCCATGGCAGCTGCAGCCACCGCCGCAGCCACCGCCGCAGCCACCGCCACAGCCACCGCCACAGCCACGGGCGCCGGCGGGTCGATGACGCCTCCTGCATCGGGCCCCTCTGCGGCTTCCTCGGCTCAGTCTGCGCCCAAAAAGGCGACGCTGGCAACCCCCCCGGCAAGCCCTCAAGCCGTGCCCTCGCCAGGGGCTGATGTCGTGTCCACTCCAGGTGCTCGAGCCATGCCCCCTTCCTCCGCTGCTGCGTCCGGTTCCTCCTCTGCTGCCGAGATCCCTTCACATGCCCCTCCTGCGACAGTGGCGCCAGGCAGCACGCCGGCCGGCCCCAATGGGCTACCACCCCAGTTCCTGATGGAGGCCGCCCAATCCGAGGGGATGGCCGCCGCGTTGGCCGCCTTTACATCGTCCTCGGCCAGCAGCAGTCCGAGCAACAGAGGCGAGAATGCCGGCAGTGCCGGCGGCCGCGACAACCCCGGCAGCCCCAGCTCTGGTGGCAGTGCTGCCGGTGGCAGTGCCAGCAACGCCGGGGCTTCCTCCACCGCCCACAAGCCCAACAACTGGATCCACTCGACCTCGGGCAAGGCGGCATCTCAGCTCCGGACAATGGTCAACGGTGCGCAGGGGCGCCTGGCGGACACCGTGCAGCAGGCCTTCCGCCAGTCGAGCTCGAGCACTTCACTTGCCGGGGCAACGATCTCCGGCGTATCGGCGCACGTGGCTTCGCGCTTGCAGGTATTGAGACTTCCGTGCTGTTGCTGGGCCGTTGCCGTGCCGTTACTGACACCTTGCTTATGGTGGTGGGGCGCTGCCAGTCGATTGCGTCGATTTTCATGAGCGTCATGGACCTGGCCACCGGCCAGACAGCCATCAAGGCGGCACACGCGGCCTCTGATCGAGCCAAGGAATTGTACGAGGAGTCGCTGAAGGCCGAGCGCCAGGCTTTTGCGCGGTTTTACCGGTTTCTGGAGGACTCCACCAAGGCGCGTCAGGCATATGAGGCGGCACGCAGCCGCGTGACCGAGGCGCACCTGGAGTGCATGCGCACGCCGACCGGCTCGCACCCGACGGCCATCACACAATCGCTGGCCGAGCTGGACAAGGCCACGCGGAAGTTGGCCGAGCATGAGGCAGCGCACCAGAATACACTGGCTCGCTTTGCGAAGGCGGATGCTTCACTGCGGAATGCCCTGGCCGAGCGGCACACCCTCTGGGCCCGGTGGAATTCCCTTGCGCAGGATGCCCTGGCCCGTGACCGGCGATACACCGACCGGAATAGCCGGCTGGGGTTGATCTTTGTGGTGGTGAATATCGGAATTGCACTGGCTCGGTTTTACGGCGAGCCGGCTCGCGTGGCCGCTCGAGCGGCGCAGCGGGCCGCCGAAACCATGGACGATGTGCGGAGCATCACGCAGGGCATCGCCCAGTCGATGTCCTCCGGCGGTGTGGCCGTCGCGGCGGCCGGCGCCGCCGGCGATGCCGCGTCCCCGACCGGGCCCCCGGCATCCGACAACAATGGAGCCATGGCTGCCGAGCTTCGTGAGCTTGCTCTCCAGCAGGAGGCCCTGGTCCAAAAGCTGGATCGGGTCCTGGCGCGGCTTGGTGATGACGCGGCTGGGGCTGCCTCATCGAGGGTTCCACTGGCCTCCCAAGCGACAGTCGCCCCGGCGGCCGATGTGCCGGCTCCCCCGGCGGCCGATGTGCCGGCTCCCCCGGCGGTGGACACCGCGACCCCTCCAACCTCCGATGTGACTTCGCCTCCCATGCCCGGGGGGGTGACTGTCCCAGCGGCGTCTCAAGAGCCCCCGGCGTCGGGTCCGGGCGCTTGCCAGCCTGACTCGGTGGCCGCCGGCTCGGGTGGCATTGTCTCTGACGAGGCTCTCCGGGCATTCCTCTTTTACTTCGGCGCCGGGACCCTCTGCCGGCCGACCGGCACGGCGTTCGGCGACTCAATCTGTGTGCCAGATGTGCAGGTGTCGACAGCGGCGCCGACGTCGGGGGCCTGGCCGACGGCCGTATGGCCGGCAGTCGGCTGGCGCCCGGTGACCCCCTCGGTGTGGGCGGACCCGGCTCACGCCCGGGCCATGGCAGCCTTGACGCACCCGGGGCTGATGGCGTCGTTGGACCGGCATCTGGAGGCCGCTTGGCCGCGAGCCGGCCTGGTGCCGGGCTCCTTGGCTGGCAGGGTGCCGGCTCCGTCTGATTCCAGCGGCGGCTGGTGGCCGAGCAGCATGATTAGCCGCCTTAGTGGTCTGCCTCCTGTCACTCTTCTTGTCGGGTCCACCTCGGTGACCGTTGCCCTGTCTGCCTTCACACTGTTCCTTGCATCCTAGAGGCGCCGGGGCTTGTTGAGCAGGCCAGGGCCCGGGAGACGCGCGATCGCCTTCTCCCCCCTCGACACGTCGCACCACGGCAAGTGTGCATGCGCTGTGTGCCAACATTCCGGGAGCGAGCAGCAGCCACATCCTCGCACAAGTGGGCATATGTGTCCATGTGGATGCGTGTCATCGTGGCCTTCCTCCCTGTCCCTGTCCTTGTCCTGCGCGTGGTGGCGCGAGCCCACCCACCGCAGGTAGAATAAAGCATTTCCCCCGGGGCCAGGCGCGGCCACCTGGAAGTTGGACAATCTCGAGACCATCCTGTTCTGATGGCCCAGAACACCGGCGCATCTTAATAGGGTGTGGTCCGTGTTAACTCTCGCACGATTCAGGTAGTCTTTGTTTTTTTCCCCCACCACCGCCACCACCACGGGTGGGCACCTGCCCAGGGATATCCTCTTGTGGCATGCTTTTCCCCCTGCTGGAGACGCACACTTCCCGTCTTGGCGGGCTCTTGGACTGGGATGCCAGCGATGTTATGTTCTCCCCCCCCCCCCCCCGTTCTCCGCTCGGTACTCCGGCGGAGGATCTCCCCTTGAAAGTGTTTACTCTCCTCCGGGGGACAGGAAAGCGCGCGGGGGGGCGGGGGAGGGGGGGGGGGAACCAGAAGACAGCACTGTTGAGGGAGTCCGATCGCCCTTGGCATGGAGCTGTTGCTAACTGTGCTCCCTCCGCCCTCCTCCTTGTCCTTTCTCAAGCTCCCCGAATCACCCTCCCCCTCTCATTCCTCCCTTGCCTCTGTCCCTTTCTCCTCCCCTTCTTTGTCTCTTTCTCACCCACTCCACGACGGGATGTCGTCACAACCGCCTCTCCAGGGCGATGGGCCGTTTCCCCCGGCCGGCCATGCGGTTGCGCGGCCGTCCCCTCAGATCCCCCCATGTGCGCATGGACATGCCCCCCTCCGGCCTTCTCTTCAAGCGGGTGCCTCGGTCATTTTCGCCTGGGCCATAACTGACCTCCCTCCCTCCCCACGCTCCTGTGGCTCTTCCAGTCATTGCTGGCCCGGCTCCAGAGCGCGTGCATGCGATGCGACTTGAGGCCCTGAAAAACCGAAGCTCGGCCCGGTATCACATCCGCCCGAACCCCCCGCGCGCCGATGTCATCGCCCGCAAAGACCTTCCCCAGCCCCTGCTAGCCAGTGTATTCAGTGCCATTGATCCGCTGAATAATGCCTGCTCGACGGCCGGCAAATCCGGTGCGCCATTGCCCCTGTGGCCCGATGTCAGTGCATCCGGCTGTAGACCACTAACCCATGGCCGGTTGCCGGTTGTCGCGGACGCCGTCCGGTTTCTTTTTTTTTTCTTTTTCCCTTTTTTGCCCAGCCGTTCGGTCATATTCCGAGGCCATTGCCACCGCGGTCCACTCGCCGACCGATGACCTTTTCCGGACGGTAAACAGTGCCCGCGTGTGTGTCGAGCATTCTGAGAAGACACAGGTAGGCACCGCGTGCGTGCCAACTTGCCCTTGCCTTGGCCTGGCTTTAACATGATCGCCCTCCCCCCGACGTGTCCCCTTTGTCCCTGGTTCGGCAACCGGATCAGCGCTCCACCGGGCCTCTGGCCGATCGTTTCTCCGGTGCCACCAACGACCTAAATCACTCGCAAGAGGCGGTGAATGACCTGTCGCAAATCGGTATGGCTCCTTGCTCCTTCGGTTCCCGGTCATATATGTATATGCTGACCCTTTTCTTTTTTCTTTTTCTTTTTTGCAGACAACTTCCGCCGGGTGCAAACGCTCATCAGCACGTCGACCAACCTGATGCGAAAGATCGCCGCGCGCGAAGCCCAACGGATCAACGAATTGAATGCCGCGCGAGTGGGACGGTCGGCCTCGATGGCCGCGCGCTCGGTGTTGGCCACCGGGCAGACTGCCCCGGTGGCGCCGGCTGCCCCGGTGGCGCCGGCTGCCACGGCTGCGGTGCCTGCTCCGTCCACTGTGTCTGCGCCTGCGCCTGCCGTGACGCCTGTGCCTGCTGCTGCGACCGCGCCGTCTTCCACGGCCGCACCCATCCCGGAGGCTGCCATGGTCTCGAGTGCCCCTCAGCCCGAGGAGACGATGACCTCTTTCGGGGCTGGGGCCCAAGAGTCTCCCTCGCACTCGGGAACATGCACACCGCAACAGCAGCCGGCGGTGGCTGGGAGTTCCGAGACCCAGGCCACCATGCCCTCGGAATAGTCGTCGTCCCCCCTCCTGGCTCCGCCCCCCCCCCCTTTGTTCCTTCCCATTCGAGCCCCCGCTTGGCCCGCTCAATGTGCCTCATTTGTGGGTCTTCACGGCCGCAGCCATTCCTCTGTGCCGCCGGTCCTCCTCTTCTCAATACACTCCCCTGCACGATGAAAAGCCCCGGCGCGATGAGCACGTATCGTGAGCAGCGGCCCTTCTCACACCTGGGCGTCTATGTTCGGCGGGCGGGCGGGGGGGGTGCCCGGTGTGGGACAAAGAAAAAAAAAAGAGGGCAACGGGCAAACCAACAAAGGGCCATGTGGAGGGGTGGATTATGGGTCTTCCGTGCGCTGGCGCTTGGCTTGTGGGGGTACACTGGGCACCGACTCCGGCTCCGAGTCGCTGTCGCTATCGGAGCCGCCCATGTACCCGGCGAAGAGGGCCTGCAAACTGCCGGTCCCAGGAGGCGGGACCATCGATGGAGGGGGGACCGTGGTCGCGATGACGGCGGGCGGCCTCCGCGCCCGACGGGCCTTCTGGTGGATCCATTCCGGGTCGGCGGACAAGTCTTCCAGGGGGACCAAGCACACTCGCGTGTCGATGGATGGACGGCTGGGCGGGTGTGCAACCGGCAGGGTGCCAGAAGTGGGAGGCATGGGGTCGGTTTCACTTTCGAAGAAGGAAACCGGCTCGTCCGCCTGCGAGTCACCATGTGCAGACCGGCCGCCCGGGAGATGGGCCGTAGGGGAATCGCTGTCTGCCTGGATCAGATGGGCAACATCTGCCGGCGAGCAGGCGAGGATCGCCGGAAACTCGATGACCTCGCCCGCGTGCCGGAGCAACGTCCCAAGTGTCAACCGAAGAGAGGGCAGTAGAAAGAACTCACGCTGATTGGCCTGAACATGTGCGGAGCAGGGGGGTGGGGGTGAGCCAAGGGAGGGGGAAAAAATGTGTGCAACGGCATGCCGGGAACCAGGGGCAGTCGCACCTTGCCCGGGGTTCGACGGATGAGAAAGACGACCGGCTCGCCGGCATCGACAGCCCCTTCGTGGATGGCTGCTGCCGAGGGAAATGCCGTGACATCGAACCCGTCAGCCGGTTGGTCGGCTTCGGTCTCGCCAGGCGGGAGATCACTCTCCGTCAGGCTGCTGAGTGGACGGACAAATTCCGGCAACGTGCCGGCTTGCGGCGCCTTGGGATCGAGGGACCTGGCATCGGGAGCTTTGCCAGGGGCAGGAGCCACGGCTGCCGGCTCCAGAACCCGATCGGGGAAGGCCTCCTGATAGGCTGCAAGGAGAGGGCCAAAGTGGGCCTGGCGCCCGGGCGCGACATGCCAAGCCCGCGCGGCCGCATGAAGAACAGCTGCCATGGGAGCATCCTCCGGGACACTGCTCCTCGTCAGAATGGGCACAAGGGCAAAGGGGGGGGGGGCCGAAAGAAGGGAAGAAAAAAGAAAAAAGCAACCCCCAAGGGGGATGAGCAGGAAGCGCACCTGACAAGAGTCACACGGGCATCGGGTGAGGTCTGGTCCGAGAAGAGAACAATCTCCAGGCGCCAATAGATTTTCTTCTCCCTGTGGGCGTGTGTTAGGAAGGCTCATTGACGGCGAAAAGAGCAGCCAGGGGAAAGGGGCGGTCTTTCTTTTCCCCGAACCAGGGGCACATACGAGATGTGGAAGTAGGAGGTGTTGGCCAGAGACCGGCTCATGCCTTGGGGGAGGAACTTCAGCGTCACCCCCCGGCGGGCAGCATGCTTGGCCAGCAGCCGCAAGCGTGGGGGCACCTGATGTTGGGGATTGCCAGAGCCCCCGGGAGCCGAGCGCCGGCCTCGAGATCCGGGACCCGAGGAGGCCGGCTGGTTGGCGCTCCCCCCGGGCCCCCCTCGCCGGGCAAGGGTGTTGTGCTCGATTTGGCTGGCCTGTGTAACTCGCTGAATCTCATGGAGGAAGGTCAGATCGCGCTGGAGCTGCCCGGTGTCAAAGTGCGCCAGTTTGACCATCTGGTTGTCCGGAGTGGGGCGGGAGCCGGAGCATGCCGCCTGCTCGCGGTGCTGGCGGACGCAAATCAGCGAGCAGGTGACTGCCCGGCAGGAGGGGCACCGGTACTGAGGGGGCGTTGGAAGGCAGAGGACAGGGTGGTGGTGGTGGTGGTGGTGGTGGTGGTGGTGAGGATGGCGAGGGGATGGGTCAGCGGCGGAGGAACACCAGGGGAACATGAATGGGCTTGGGTTCGCACCTTCCACGGATTGGATGTGCAGACCGAGCACATGGCGGGCGTCGGGCCCATTGCGGAGGGAGGGCCCGATTCACGAGCGCCTTCCTCGGGGAGGGGATGGCCCGGGGCGGTCATAGTGGGATTGACCTATGTGTGCGTGCGTGCGTGCGTGCGTGCGTGCGTGCGTGTGTATGCTTCAATGTTTCTCTGTGTGCGTGTGTCTGTGGAGGGGTTTGCCCGCGGGCCCGGAGGTAAGCTATTCTGGGATATCGCGAAAAGGGCGCCAGAGGAGGATGAGGGGAGGCGAGGGGAGGATGAGGGAGGCTCTTGCCCCCCTAGAGCAGGAAGGCATCGCCATGGCGACTCAAGGGGGCTGTCATCCCCGCGTGGGGGATTGGCCAGTCGGGACCGCGCCCCCCCCCC